GAGAGAGAGAGAGAGAGAGAGAGAGAGAGAGAGAGAGAGAGAGAGAGAGAGAGAGAGAGAGAGAGAGAGAACAACAAGCCAGTTGCACTGGGAAGAAGACCACAAGTACCCAATGCAATGGTGACAGTGTTTGGAGCACATCCTGTAAGATTGCGAAATCGCCTTCTTGCCATAGGGATAATGATGCATGCTAATAGACAAGGTAAGCAATGCAAAGGAGCAAAAGGACCAGTGAGGTGATGATAAGGACTCAGACATACACAATGAGATCGATGACATACATAATGACATCAGAGAGACAATGTGTATCCATACAATCATAAAATGATACAATGTAGCACAGCGGAAGACTCAAACATACGACCTGACTCAATGGACAGACGTGACTCATACCATCATCATCACACATGTGAGAGAGAAGGGAGGCCGCATACACAGAGGACAAGGTCCCCCCCCCCTTGAGCACGCACATGGGAGGTCTACCACAGATGATGGGAGGGACAGGAGCGAGACAAAGATGGAGGCGAGGGAGTAGACCAGAGTGGAATACACTGCTGTCAAAAAAAGAATAGTCTCCCTGTCAAGTGTCCAACCAACGTCTGCCCCAAGAATGTTGAATCAGATCCTGGGCCCCATAGCCCGTAATAGCTCTGCCTGCAACCTTTCTCTCTCTCTCTGAAGAAGAAGAGGAAGAAGAAGAAGAAGAAGAGCAGTGACTATGGAGGTTGGAGTCAGGAAGAAGGAGAAGAAGAAGAAAAAGAGACGTCTCCTCTGTCTCTACCTCACCTGCTACTGCTGGAGTCCTGCCGACACTGACTGATGGAATGGCGCTCTCTGATGCAGGTCGCTGAAGTGCATTCCAAGCTATGGCGCCCAGGTAAGTCGTCCCCCAGCCAGCGGCTATGGCTCTCCAGCCTCCGCTCTCCCACTACCTCCTACTCCTCTACCTCTACCTCTAGCGGAGCACTCCAGAGTCGCATGCTGCTCCAATAGCGTGATGCTCACAATGTTGCCCAACTGAAATCTGTCGAACTGGACTGCCCTCCCACTATATATAGTGTTGGGCCTGGCTGGGCAGCCCACGGTGTGCGGCCAGGAGCGTGAGATCTAAGATCTGATCGAAGGCCCTGAATGCAGGCCCAAATCCTCCTCTTGGTGGTATCCTGCTGCTAAAGCAGGCCCTACCTATTAAGGGAAAGTCAGTTGACACACTTGGAACCAACAAAAATGGACCAGACAGCAAGACTAAGCAAATAAATAAATAAATAAATGCCAACTCAAAGAAAAGACAGCAAGACTCAGCAAAAAAATAAATAAGGAAATAAAATTCAATAAATAAATGCTGGATTGAAAAAAGACAGCAAGACTCAGCAAAAAGATAAATGAGGGAAGAAATTAATGCTGAATCAAAAAAAAAACCTGCATGAGGCAGAAAAACGTGCCTGGCCTGGAAATGGCCGTGGGCCTCCAGGTTGCACAGCCAAAAAATGGTGTGTGGCCTGGGGGGCCCTAACAACCGTCGGACCCTAAGAAAAAGGGCCCGCGTACAGGCCTCAGCATGCTCCAGATAATTTCGGATACATATATATTGTCACATAACTATGAACTAAAAGAGCGCAATTTGCAAAACAAACGGCAAAAATAACAAAAATTAAAAAATTAAAAAAAACAAGACAAACATGAAGGGCACAGTGAAACCTTTCATTTTACTCAATTCTTCTTTTGACTCCCCTTTCACCGTGCCTCTCACGTACAAGGCTCGCCACGTTGATGAAGTTGAGCGCGAGCTGCCCCCATCCCCGTGTGCCGTAACAGTCCACTTGTACGCTGTGAGAAAGAGGCAGAGTGAAGGGGGAGGGGATAAACACAGGGAGGAGAGATGGAGAGCAGACAAACAAAGAACGAAAAAGGGAAAGTAAGGGAAAGTATGGAGTGTGGAGTGAAGATGAAGGCAAAAGAGGATAAGAAAAGGCTCAAGAATGAGTCTGTCCTTGATGACAGAGAGGACATACATTGTAAGGATGACGTGGATGAACACATGGAAGACCTAGCTGAGCATTCTCAGTGCAACAATTGCCACGACGGGTGGCATTGAGCATGCCCGCCATACACCCCCGACAAATGGCATGTCGAGGAACAAAATGAAGGAAGAACGGTCACCACAAAAGAGCATGCATTCAGTATAGAGCCCATGGCCGCAAAATGGACATATAGTGTCCAGATGCGGAAGGTGCCTGCAGTCAGGAACGGTGGGACAGTCCTTTGCACACACGGATGCAGAAACCATGTCATTGTAGTGATTGTGACAGAGACGATGGCGGCTACAGCCGAGTGTAACAGTGTTTGTGGTTGTGCAAAGGAGACGGTCGCAGAGTGTTGGTACATTGTCTTGCTGCAGCACAGGGCCAGAGGAATGATCTTCGACAGGGTTGCATTCCCGCTGACCGGTCGGGCCGACGGCCGACCGTATTGTACCGACCGATTGGGGCTGACCGGTCGGCGGTAGCCGACGGCTCAGAAAACAGTCTTCCTCTGATTTTTTTTTCGTTTTGACTTCGGGGCTGTACTGCGCTTGCTGAGTACAGCCCAAATCCGCTGAGAAACTTTGGTTTCAGGGTGGAGGGGTTTGTTGGGGAGGGGCGGGGGTCACCGATGCGCAAAAAAAAAGAAATAATAAAAAAAAAAACAAAAAAAAAAACGGCTGTTATGTGTGAGAACACAAAAAAAAAGAGAGAGAGAGAGAGAGAGAGAGAGAGAGTGAGGGGGGAAAATGCAAACAAATAGCTCCTTATTAATATTTATTCAAACCCCCTGCGGGATATCCGAGAGGGCCCTGCACACAATCAGCAAGGGCCACGTTGCCATGAACGAGGTAGTACTCATAGCCATGCTGAAAGTATGGCACGCCAAGTATATATGCTGTTGATTCACTTTAAGGTCCGTGTTTCAGCAGTTATGGGACCACTGAGCCTGCGAGTTTCAGGGCAATAGCAGGCCAACTCACCACGTGCAATTCAGGGCTTCCCTCCACTAAAAATGTGCAAAACTACAATGAATCTTCTGCTAGAACATGGAACTGTACGCCGCCATATGTTTTGTCTTTTGTGCAAGTGGTGACGAGTGAAGCAAGGCCCTTAGGGCCACTTGTCGTAGGAAAAGGAAACAAAAGAAAGAGGAACGAATTTCTGCTAGAACATGGAACACATACGCCGCATATGTTTTGTCTTTTGTGCTGGTGACGAGTGGAGCAAGGCCCTTAGGGCCACTGCTCGTAGGAAAAAGAAACGAAAGAAAGAGAGAGCTACAGTAGTAAGTAGTTGTAACTTGTAACCCATAACTGCTCGAAAGCAGACCTGACTTCGGATCCAGAGCATATATTGCTGGCCTGCTCTTCTTCTACACGAAATTTTCTGAACATCTCTTGAGATGTTGGGACCCTTGCATATGTACTGCTGGGGTCCTCCGCGAAAAAGACTATTCAAGAAGGAATACGTGGGCCCTATTTTTTTTTCTGGGGGAAGGTGCGCCATTGGCTACCGCAGCCAGCCTTCTGAAATTTTTTTTTTTATATCCTATTTAGCGGGGTTCGTAGCATCACGTGTGCGTGCATGCTTACACGTGCGTTATGCGCCGCACGTGCGGAGCTCGCGCGCACGCGATACGACGCAGGTATGGGTTGGAGTATAGGCGGAGTATAGGGGTGATATAGGGGATATTAGGGGGGTTAATAAGGATGTTGGGGGCGGTTCAGGAGTGTTAGGTTGGTGTACGCGGGTATTGGGGGCCGCTATGGGGGTGTGGGTGGGGTTATTAGGGGTTCTGGATCCCAAAAAAAAAAAAGTGCGGGGTGATCCCCGACTGCTAGGTGCCGACCAGCCGATCGGTCGGCGGGTCGGCGGCCGACCAGTCAAGGGCCGCCGACCGTCGGGGTGTGCAACCCTGATCTTCGACATAAAAGAGATTGCGGACGGTTTGTTGTGGCAAGAAAACAGCATCATTTTGTAAGAAATCAGTGACATCAATCATGGCATGGACCATGGTGCCGTTGTCCCACAGCTCCCAGTGGTCAGAGGCATGTACAATGGCCATGTAATGGCCAGGGCCGTGCACAATGCAGGCAGAGATGTGAGATGGAGGATTAAACTACTCACCTGCTCGAGCATTGCGTAGTTCAAGTTGATGGTCCCTCATTGCTACTTGTAGGACAGCAATGGTAAAGCCTCCTTAGTTGGTATAATTACAATCCTCTGGCTGTCGTTGGGGAAGATCAGCATCAAGCTGAAGGGCGATTGCAAGGAAGTCTGATGGTGTATAAAACGGGCGATGGAGAATGTGAAGACAGATATTAGTTGCTGTTAGACCACAGAGATTGGTGAGGTTCTCAGGCTGGTTTGTTGGATGCTGGCCAACAATTTGCAGATCACCCAGATGGTGTTCCAAGCCCAAACTGTGTTGGGTTGTCTGCTAGTCAGTCATTTGCAGATCCCCCATGTGGTCTGCGTGTGGCGGAGCACAAAATTGTGGTTCATCCGAACAATGCTGGTCAGCCATTTGCAGATCCCCCATGTGGTCTACGCCTTGTGGGGTCAACTGCAATCCGGGCAGATCATGTTCCAATCCCTCAACGTTTAGGGCTGCATCCTGAGTAGGGACTGTACCTGGAGTCGGGAGTGTACTATGGGCAGCGGCTGCATCCTAAGTAGGGACCGGTGGCTGCCTGCAGGCAGCTGGACTGTCTGCAGGAGGCATAGGAGCGGATATTGCCGTTTGAAACA